CAGTGTCGTTCTCAACAGGCTGATGGGTCACTCCTCCTCCTTGAGGATGCTTTGGGGAGACAAGACGGAGGTAGACACGAGAGAGCATGCTGTGCACAGGCGACCCAGAGGTGTCCCCGCATCCTCATTGAGGAGCTCTCGTACTGTGGTGTCCCGGTGGTGAAGATCGAAGTCGGACCACAGGCCACGAGTACACGTGCAGCTGATGTGGTCAGCGACTCGGCCGCTGGCCAGGCTCGGGGGGCAGGGGGGGTCGTAGCCGAGGAAGATGACGGTGCAGTCGGGGATGGTGACGAGGGCATGACACCGTCAGACGATCTAACAGTCAACGAAAACAGAACGGAAACAGTCGGAACGGAAGAGCCACAACCGACGGCTCACGAGTTCGCGGTGCCGATAGAAACTTGCGAATCCGCTGTCGAGTCTTGTCGGCATCCTCCGAGACAAGAAGATAGCTACGGCACTGCGACTCGAGCTAGACAACCACTCGACGAGTACCAGGCCAGGGTGCGGCTGCAGTCGCTCGTGACCGAGTCTGACAGCTCGCAGGACGCAAAGCTCATCGTGCCCAAGTACGAATGGATCCGCGGCCACCTCGGTGAGGCGGAGCGGCCAGGGCGCACTGGATGCGATGTGGAAATCCTCGACTACCAGACCATCGCACTGCGCTTCCTGGAGGAGCTGCGCGCCAGGGACGACCTGACGGCCGAGGAGAGGGCCATCATGGAGAGCATACCGAGCATGTCCGCCGACTGCAGGTCCGAGGACGACGCGTCGAGCGACGACGAGTCGGGGCAAAAGTGGGTGGAGAGCAGCTCCGACAGTGACGATGCCAATGATGTTGTGGTTGCTGAGCTGAGGGATTGCCAAAGCCCATGCGAGCAGGCCACTGTTCAGGACAGCGCGGCGAGTCCGGCGGAAGGGCAGTCCCTGACATCTAATGGTGATGGCGAGAGGGAAGTACCACACAAAACGCAACCGGAGCCCTGCAAAAGTAAACCGAACACACGGAGAGCCCTACAGATCAAGAGGCTCCTAGATCAGCACGCGAATATTCTCAAGATGCCCGTAGAAGAAAGAAAAGTACTTACAGATCAACTGGTGAAGCAGGTCAAGAAGTGGGAAAAGAAGAAACACAAACAACAAAGAACGAATGAAATACAATTGACGACAGCCTGTGAGGAAGGCACTAAAATTGGACCAGACAGCCAGCCAGAAAATGTGTCTTCAAAGATTAATGAAGAATTTCAACAGAAAGAAGCTAAGGGAGGCAGCATAACATCTGATTCAGAAGATGAAGTAGAAGAGAGAGGTTTAGTATGGAATGTGTCAAAGACTTTGGAAATGCAAATAGCTTCATTAGATATTGAGTGAGCAAATTTATTTGTTTTGTTAAACTCATGATAATAGATAGTAAATTATATATTTCCCCAAAGAATAACATAAATTAAAATACTAATTGCTAGAATCAGAATCATGTTATTTACACATTTGAGATGACATCACAGAAACACATTCACCTAGTTTCCAATGAATCACAGCTGGCATCAGCATTAACTCTCAAAATTTTAACCAAGCTATCTGATGTTGGACCGCAAACAGTCCCTTATACTTGTATCACAAATACACATTCAGAGTAATGTACTTTCACAGTCAATTGTGTAAAAAAGTAAAGTCTGAAAAGCTTTTCAGTCATTGTGTGCTGACTTAAAACTATAAGCACTTAAAGGACTCAAAGTACTCAATGGGCTCATTGGATTACTAAGAGGTGATGACATTTGCCTACGTCCACTTAAATTATTCCTATCAACATAAGGGCTAATACGGTCACGCCCATGATGACGTCTTTCAATTACCTTGTCAAAAAATCTGCTAAGTTTGACTGCTGAACTGCTTCCAGCTGCCAATGAGCGAACTTCTGTGTTGTCCTACAGAAAGTAAAAAGGCTAAGATGATGTAGGTCAACAGGAGATTTCAAGAATAATTATTTAATATTATCCTCACCACAGCAATTTCATCAGCTCCACATTCTTCTGCTATAGTAGCTGATCTCCTTTGAGCTTGGGCACGAGATGCCTCCAGGAGATCTACTTTAGTTCCAATTACTAGGATAGGAATCTGAGGAAAAAAATTGAAATTTGAGAGCAAATGAGATAACTCAATACTTCAGAGGAAGGAACAGAAATCGTACCTGGGTTGATCCAACAAATTGCTCTGGGTCAAAATCGTCAAAAGTATGGTTTTTGAATTTTGAATTTCCCTCTCGATTAAGAACCTCTGCAAGCCATTTCTGGAGGTTCTGTTCTGATTTACGATTGGTAAGGTCATGGACTAGAATAATACCTACACAATTAACCAAAAAAAAGAAGGAAAAAAAAAGGGATTATGAAGAACCGAGAAATTGGTGGGTTTGTGAGGAAGGTATAAATTATTTTTAAATCCAGGGCACTCACCATGAGTTGGGTTATAGAAAACAGATCTGGTATTTCGGTGACTGCTACTGCCTCCCACATCCCAGAGTTCAACAAAATAAGTCTTTTGATTGGGCGTCCCCTCTCGATACTCATGTATCTTCATCTCAACAGAACACCCAACCGTCCAGGAGGGATTGCTGATAGTCTGTCCATGGCAAATTTGATGTACTAATGATGATTTACCAACACCTGTATAAACAATTAAAACGGACAAGTTGTGAGGATTAAAAATCAAACATGTATCTTTTTTCAAATTTAGATGTGTCATCAGTATTTGATAATAAGTGATAATATAACCTATTACATACCTGAATCACCGACGACAATCACCTTCACCTTGTCAATAGAAGCCATTTGAAAAGATAGACAACGTCAATTCTTGAATTGAATTAAATGATCTCCAGTATTCAGAGGAATTAAAGAATCCAAAGAATCTGTAATCCCTAACTTTGTTGTTGCTGTACGAGTCGCGCCTATAAACAATTTTTCATAGCAAATATTGTGTAGCCTCTCATCAGAGAGCGCTGCTTGCTTGCCGTCTCCTCCGGTTGCCATGGAGATACGTAGGCAAAACATGGAGAATTAAAGCTTGTTCTAGTGACTGTTGAATATCTTAACTTAAATCATTATTATTTTCATCTAATTGATAAACAACAATGTGGAATGTTCTCAGTGAAGTGACTTTTTTCTGAAGAGAAAGGAGTAGAGTGATGACACGCTCTGCATATTTCCAGTTCAATCCCTTTCAAATTGGATTAATTTCGAATATCAGTGTGCAGACGACATACGCCCATTTCACAGAAAGATAAAAAAGTCTCTGATGTTATTAAAAAAACGTTTTGAATAAAAGTTTAAGAAACATCGAGATATCATGAAGTATCAACATAAATGTTAATAAAAATATGGAGAGGACAGTACCAAAGTGGCTTCAGGACTTATCAAGGTATACCTTTTACTACTGTATGCTGGGGTTGTATACATCTTGCTATTAATGATAACAACTTAAAGATATGGATGTCATAATTTGTTTCGTCTTGTTCAGTAATGACAGGAAGCAAATACAGCCCTATTCCGCAGAGGGCATTCTTTCACGACCTAATGAGTATGTCCAACAGTTATATGTTTATGGCACCTTTCAACAATATATTAATCTAGTTATACTTTATTATACTTCTATTTTCTGTTGTCAAGGATTGATGGGGATAATTTGCTATCACTTAGAAGTGAATCAGCTAGACAAGGCAGAAGAGCTTCATCATCTGCTGGAAATAGTCCTCATAGTCCACTCAGTCCTTCTAATAAGTACCGTGGTGAATCACGCTTCAATTCAGAGAGCTCCAGAAGGGAACGCCTTCGAGGTGTTCGTGCTGATTGGGATCAGTTGTCACTACAAGATTTGTGGGATAAACCGAATAGAAATCGATGGCTGCAAAGTTTACGCTCAGGAAAGTCAGTGGAGGAAGAAAGATCTGATCAACTGTTTCCAGGAAGATCGAACTGGGCAAGTAGATCAGCAGAGGTTGATGATAGGAGACTTCAAGAACCTATTCAGTCAAAAGACCAGCACCCTGTGAAAACTCAACAAGACCTTGAAGAATCGTGGAATGTTTTACACACATTTAACCAAAAGCAAAGGGGAAGATTAACAATCACGACATCCCGGGGTAGTTTTACTTTTCTCTTTGTTTTATCTCTGACAACATATTAGTCTGATTTGATACCTAAAAATATGATTTGTATTGTAAAACATTTTTCAGATATTGATCCAAGTGGTGATCTAAAAGATGACAGTCCACTTGAATGGCCTATTAGCCATCTTGATCGTCGAAAATCTAGCACGAGTCTGGAACACAATCTCAGATCTGATTCTAGAAGTAATGCATATTCATCACGAGATTTTATCATCCCTGAACTTCCATCTGGAAGCAAACTAACTATTGATATTTTGAGCACATGGGGAGATCGCCATTATCTTGGATTGAATGGCATAGAATTATTCACAAAAGATGGTCTCCCTCCACAAATTGCACGGGTTGGTAAATTTTAAAGTTAATTGTTGGAAAGCTTTTGTTTATTAATTTATTTTCTTAAATGTGTTTTCTTTTCAGATCTGGGCTTCTCCTGCTGATATAAATATTTTACCAGAATACAATGGAGATCCAAGAGTTGTAAGGAATCTTGTTGATGGAGTTAATCGCACAAGAGATGATTTGCATCTGTGGCTTGCTCCTTTTACACCTGGTTCTCACCACTACATATATGTGGAATTTAGTGTCCCATATACTATAGCAATGTTGCGATTATGGGTAATTGATATTCGTTCACTTTATTCAGACTTATTAGAAAGTATATTTTTAAGAAATGCTATATGGTTTTGTTTTTATATAGAATTACAACAAATCTCGAATCCATTCTTTTAGAGGTGCTAAAGATGTAGAAATATTTCTAGATGAAGTACTTATATTTCGTGGGGAAATAGCTCGTGCTTGTGGTGCTATTCAAGGAAGTACTGATGCATTTGGTGATGTAAGTTCCTTTTGAAAAAAAGGAATCAATATGTTTATTATTAAAGCACTCCATGAATGATAAACCACACCTTTCTTTCAGACAATTCTGTTCACTACTGATGACACAATTCTGGAACTTATTTCAAAATATGACAGATCATTTGATAGTAGTGTTACATACAGTCAAGGAAACATTTCATCAGTGCAACCTTATGAAAGGCCTCCAACAGCTGATTGTTCTGTAAGCATGACACTTTTGACAAAGTATAAAAATATCTATCTAAAATATTATAAGTATACAATAAGCATGACTTAAAAATCATTTATAAAAATCAATTACAAAGTGTAAAATTATCTTTTCTGAGAGCAGGAGTCAGTTCGTCCTTTTACCTCAACAATCATAGGCAGCACTCCAAATGTAGTAGATGAAACCAATGGGGTCCAGAGATGGGGTCCACAACCTACTAAAAAAATTCAGCAGCAGTTGGATATTTTTCTTCTCAGTAACTGGGGCCACCCATCGATTATCGGTTAGTGTTTGATTTAAATTAAATGTGTCAAAAGATTTAATTCCATTTTGTTTAACTATGGACAACAATTGACAATTTGGTCTTTTGCATGCCTGCTCCATATGTTTCTTGTTAAGGGTTGACTGGACTAGAGATTATGGGACCCTCTGGTACTCTTATTCCAATCTCCCCACAGGACATTCAAAGTGACGAAAACCGTGTTCACCTGCACAGGTATGTAATTTATAGAGGACACTCAAGGCACTTAGTAAATTGCGGTAAAAAAAATCTGATATATATGTAGATTGGATTATTTGGATTGTTAATCGGTTGTAGTGTTAGATTTTGTTCCACTGAAACTACTGTTTACAGGCTTCTTGATGGTGAAAACTGGACAATGGATGCCACTCACATGTGGAGCTTTGAATTCAAATCAAAGCCTATAATACTATCCATTAGAATTGGAGCAGAACATGAAGTTACTGGTGTTCATATCTGGAATTACAATGCTTCACCAGAACTAACATCTTGTGGGGTAGGATATACATTTTACATTAACACAACATTGAAATCAATGGAATATCAGATGTTTAACTATAACTTGTTTTCACTATCTATGGCAGGTTCGAGAACTTCAACTGCGGATAAGAGGAAAATTAAAAAGTGAAGTGTTCATAGTTCGTAGAGCGCCAGGAAATTTACATTATAACTTTGGTCAAGTTTTGCGTCTAGAAAGAAAGGGCTTAACAACAACTAAAACAAGTGCTTTATCCTCTCCATCCTGTGAGTTAATGCTTATTATAACCTTTGACCTTCCTCCAAATTATTACAGATAGTGAATTTGAAGAAAATTTTAAAACTTAGTTCTAGCTTTTTTTTCTTTTTTTTTTGCAGTATCATTAACTCCAAGTATTGTACCAGAAGATGAATATGAGCACACTGGTGTTCCAACTGGTCTGATATTCACTTTACTCATTTTTTCCACATGGGGTGACCCTTATTATGTTGGTCTAAATGGCATTGAGTTTTATGATGCAGAAGGATATCGAATTTCACTTGGTTTTCAAAGTGAGTTTATATGGAAAACATGAGAACCTTTATAAGTGTGTTTTATGTTTTATTACACAGGTCTTGTTTTGCATAATTTCATATTACAGATGTTGCTGCTCACCCGGAAAGTGTCAACATTCTTGAAGGATCTGAAAGGGATGTTCGAACACCCGATAAGCTTATAGATGGAGTCAATGACACTTTGGATGGTCGTCATATGTGGCTTGCACCTATTTTACCTGGCAAGGTATTAGAAAACATCAACTACAAATATATAAGTTTTCCATTGAATAATTTAAGAAAAATCTCATGACCCCTACATTGTATTTTATTTATTTATTTTAACTCAACAACAGATAAACAAAGTTTACATCATATTCAATACTGCCACCACAGTATCCATGATGAAACTGTGGAACTATGCAAAAACACCCAGTCGTGGTGTGAAGGAGTTTGGTGTATGTACTACGTTTTGAAGAAGTTCTTACTTGCTATCATTACTCTGTACATGCAGTTTGTCAATTTATTTAAAAATAATTAATATTTTCAGATATTAGTTGATGAGTTACTAGTTTACAATGGAGTTTTAGATTGTGTAGATGGAAAGAGAGGAAGTATTCCTTACAGAAGTGTTATCTTTTCTGCTGACCAAACTTTGCTAGCAAGAGAGGCTGAAACACAAACAAGGTAAACTATCTATGCAAATTGTGTTTTTAAAATTTTCAATTCACACTTCATGAATAAAAAATTACTTCTGTTTAGGAGGAGCTCACCTGTAAGTCCAAGATTGCAGGCAACTTCAAGTGGTCAACCTCGAATGGCAGACCAGTCAAAGAGGCCATTTACTTCTTTGCAGCAACGATCTGGTCATCCCGGAAAATAAGACTCGATACTACATAATTTGCTTCATTTTTACATTGTTATGTTTTTCCAGTTTGTAATGTGTTGGTTTAATATTTTGACTTCTGACTGATGAAGGGCAAGGGCAATACGCATACCAAAGATTTTTTTTTTGTGTGTGTTTTTCTTCGTAAAAGAAAAAGATTTTAGATCTTTGTATTTTTGAATTTTCTAATATTTTTAAAGAAGTTACATATGAATTATATGCTACTACCTGTGTTTATGGGATGTCAGAAGGGTGCTTTTGAGTTAAAAACTCCTATTTTAGTTTGTTTTGTCAAGATCTCATGCGTGACTCATTTCTGTGAAAAGTGTCTTTTCTTAGAAAGGAACAGATACAAGAAAGTTATCAGTCAAATCCAAACTTTACATTTGATTGACTTGATCTCTTTCCTGAACTAACTTTTTTCTAAGGCTGCAAGGTTTGAAGTTTTCTTATTAAAATACTGAAGCCAAAGGTTTTATGGTCATGTCATATTTTATAAGGATGTGGCTTACCTGTAAAAATAGATCAGTGCTCATTATTATTACAGCATTGTGATTTACTCAAAGGGACCAATGCTAGTCCACTCACTTTTGACTGGCTCGATTACTGACCAAATCATTTTTTTCTTATGTGAGAAACATTTCCTGAATATTCATCTTTTTACATTTAGAAGTGCTTGACTATGTCTTTACCTGCAGTGTATTTCAGTTTTTAAGTAGAGCTCCAGAGCTCTTACAGTGGCTGGGCCACATGTAAACTGTTATTGTAGAATTTTCACTTTTCACTCTCTGTAAGTTGCAATTTTACTATAAGGGTTCCTACAGGGATACTTATGGACGGTATTTTTTTAATGAAGTTGGATTTAATTGCTACATACTAATGTTCTTTATTTTACATTACACATCTTTCATATCACATGAATAGTTTCAATTTTAATTTGCTATGCAAAGATTAAGATAATTTTTACATCACATATTTCTTGATTAAATTAGAAAATGTGATGATAAAATTCAGTAAACAACAAATAAAATTCGTAAGAACATCTCCCTACACTTTCAAGAATTTATCATCAAATGAACAGTAGGAGTGACAGGTAGTAAGAATTATAATTAACTAAATCAGGATAAGAACGAAACATCGCTGTTTATAAAAAAACACTTATCTTCTTGAGTTCCAGAAATCAATATTAACATCATGTGTGGCTTTGGACTTTGCCAATATTTCTGTAATTGTAGAAATTGGATGTGTCTTCACACTTACATTTCATCTGCAAAATTGAAAGAAAAATCAAGTTGTACAGTATAGTACCAAATACTGCAACAAGTTTCCAAAATTACAGAAATATTCTAATGTACCTCATCATGATTGGGGTGCTTAATGGAGTTGCATCTCAAAGGACATCTGTGACCACATTTGAGTACGGATTGACATTGATCTGGGCAATATTTCCGACCAATAGGAGGCATCCAGCATTGCAAAAAGAGAGAATGCGAACATGGTTCCATACGCTTTTTGATAGGAATCTGTACTCGAAAAGTCAAAGGTAAGTACTAAACTATTTTCAACTAAAAATTGAACTTTCTGCAGTATTTTGCTCACCCCACAACGATAATTATCGATGTCCAAACTGCATTTAATCAAAGCTTTGTGGCCACATGGAAGGAGTTTCCACACAATGCTGTCACAATCTCCACAATCATCACAGCATTTTTTGCTACACTTATGGCCAGAGGGGCAGGTTCTTTGGCAGGCTTCCTGGCACCTGGAGATGTATTTTATTAGATTCAATTCTAACGCATGGAAAGTGATACATTTATCCCCAGTTACTCAGTCCCTACCTAAGTGATAGGTGTAGCCTATCATCTGGGTGGCATTTCTTTCTGCAGAAGTGACCACAGACCAACCTAAACATACAAGTTAGCTGACAACCTCCAGACTCTAAGTAATATGAAAATTCATCAGCACAAGAAACCAATTTTGTTTTCTCAGGATGTCGACTACAGCCCAGGGGAAATGAATGACCAACAGAATCATTCTGTAGCAATGTTCTGTGAACCAACGACCATAGTTCACTGTTACGAGACAACAGATCAATGTTTCCTAACATAAAGAGACCTAAAAGCGAAAAATACATGCCTTAGATATTTAACAACACTTTCATGTTTTAGTGGAAGTCTCAAATACTCACCATCCCGTGCTCGAGAAAGTGCTACACATACGCGGTTTTTAATTTTGAGGAAACCTATTTGATTTTCACAGTTATTACGCACTAAAGACAGGATAACAATCCTACATTCTTCTCCTTGAAAATTGTCGACTGTCAATACTCTTAGATTTTCTAGTTCTGGATAAAGCATGCAGTTCTGCAAACAGGAAAAAGATGAACTCAGCAGTAAGGTCCGCACAAATGACAGCTAAATAATGAATCATGAATTTACATACTGCTTCAATAGTAGAAATTTGTTCCCGGTATGCAGTTAAAATGCAAACTTCATCTGTGGTGTACTTATGCTTTATTAGATACCTAGCAAGCTGTACAGCCATTTTGGCTTCTTCAGAATTTCTGTAGCTACCTGTAAGGAGATTCTGCAAGTAGAAAGCTAAATTAAAACAGTGCTTATACACACCACAATATTCTAAAACATTCAGGTATGGAATACACTACCTTACACTCATGCCAGAAATGTGAGAAAAAGAAAACATTTTTTTTAAGGCCTAGTACATGATCTCTATTCTTAGTGCATTGATGATCACCTAGTTCGGCATATATACTAGGTCTTATCAAGGCAGATATTTGAGGTTGCATCCGATGCTGAGTAAGCAGTGTGTTGATGGGGACTGTCTTGTTAAGAGCTAAACGCTCAAACAGTGAAACATCTGTGAAATGGGTCTTTGATAAAGCATAAGATGCTGGCCGCGGCCTGAGCTGCTTGTGGTCTCCAAGAAGGATCAAATGTTGACAATGTTTTGTAATTGTTGCCACAATATGACTTTCGTGGACCTCAGCAGCTTCCTCCACAAGAGCTGAAAACAAATGTGTCCTATAAAATACTATTACAGTACAAAGAATTAAATAATATTTACAGACAGTACCAAACTTGCTGAAGTACAGTACCTATTGGACAGTGAAGTTCACGCAATACTGGATACAATCTGGCAGCAGCTGATGTTGTCATTCCAACAAGCTCTGCCTGTCGCATTGCTTCCAATTTCTCAAGTTGCTTTGATTGATCTACTGCAGAAGACAGTGACATATAATGAGTCTCTAATAACTCAAGATGCTCCTGTAAGGTTCTCTCCAGGTGCCGCACCCAATACCTAATAATTTTTGAGGAAAAGTTATTTCAAGAGTTAGTTTTAGACCTCTGAGCAAAATAGAATAGAACATTGCATCTTAAAGTTTACCTGTATAAAGACCAACGGTCATTTGGTGAAAGAACCCAAAGGCACTCAAAACCAACAGGTGGACTGTAAGCAGTATTTCGTTTCATCATTTTTTTTTGAAAAAAATTAATTCTATCTTCCAATATTATGCTTGAGTTGCACAGTCCACTTTCGTGGGCACCTGCCATTTTGCTTTCAATTTTCTTTTCTTTTAGATACATCTCGAGATCATGTAAGTTCAAGACATATTCAAATGGAACACCTTTCACAATATTTGGTCTAGAGAAAATAAAATCAATACAAATAGAATTCAGATATAGAAAAATTAAGGGTAATACCATAATTAAAAAACAAAAATATGCCATACTCAGTTTGATTATTGTCAGATTGGAGAAAAAGGCACTTCATATCTTCTGCATTCTCCTTTGATAAAAGTGCAGTCTCCTCACTGTGCTTATAGCATTTCATTTCCATTTTTGCACAGGAGCACACTCTTTTCACACTGCAGTCTGGTGGCTGAAAAAGCATGAAATACATATGAAATTTATTTTTCTTTTTCAGAAGATTGGAATTCTAACTGAAGTAAAATTACCTCAGAGTAATGTTCTTCTTCAAGCCACATCAGAAAATTTGCTGGATTGATGAAACACTCAGAAAATTTGGTATCAACAACTCCAAAACTAACAAGTGTTTGTAAGTTTAAAATTCCATGAGATGCTACTTTACTAAGTTCTGCATGACAAGCTCGTACATTACTACCTACAGATTTCAATTCATTCCTTTGTTTAGCAGCATCAGGAGCTGTTTTACGACGTCCCTTCTTCAGCCATTCTCGTATATTGTATGGAGCTAGAATGGCACTTTTTGACTGACATCCAATCCTCATAAGTTTTTTAGAAACAGGTATTAAGAGCTCCATGAACTGATCTAACGCATGATTTGTTTGACACATCAATAGCATTGGTTGATTCCCTTCTTTGTTCCAAACTTGTCTATTCTGAAGAAGAGCTTTGGCTACTTTACATCCCAAATATGTCTTCCCAGTTCCAGGGGGACCTTGAATTAGAACAAGCTTATTACATAAGGCTTTCTTCAATGCAACCAGTTGAGAATCATTAACATTCAGTACTTCAGCACTTGGCCAATCATCCTCCAACACTTTTAACTTCACAGCATTTTCAAGAAAATACTCAGTGTTTTTCCCTAGATAGGATGGGGAACCAACATCACATTTAATTTCAGAGCCGATGATATGTTCTTGCATTGGTACATCTTCATTAGTCATGCCTTGAAAGATTTTCATCACATAATAAAAGGGTTGAAAGAAGGCCTGTGATTCTGCTAGCATAAATTTTTGGCGTCTGAAGCCTGGTAGAAAGTGACTTACTGCATGAAGTTGAACAATCAATATATTCGACTTTCTTCCTCTATTCCTTCTGAGAGGCCGTCCATTACGTTCAATTCTTTGAACTGATCTTGGTAAAAATTGGCGAAACAAAACTGTTCCTACAAATATATCTTTAAAATGATTTGGTGTTAAAAGAACAAGGGAACCTTCCATGAAATTCTTGTCTCCAATTTTCTCACTCAGGGGGAATCCCATGTCTATGGCAATACCCAGTTTGTTATCCCTAATGCGAGGTTCTATGACACGCACATCATGATGGAGATTCAGATTTTTAACTTCATTTGGAATAACACCGGTCTTGATGCGTTGGTATTGATAATCTGCAATGCCCTCCTTTAAAGGTCGAATAAAATCCTCTCTAAGCAGGTCAAACTGAGTTTTTAAGTAGCTTTCTACATTTTCATAGCATCCAACAATCTTATTAGGGCTGATTTTTTTATTTCCCTTTCTCTTGAGTTCATCAGAGTGTGGAAATAAGCTCTCACATCTAAAACTTGACTTTTCTTCAACCTTTGCAGGTTTTATCTCCACGAGTTGATTAGGGCATGGAATTATGCTTTCTCTTAAACTTGACGACTTTACTCCAATTTCAGGTTTAGAATTACTATTAGTCTGACAATCTTGACAAGATATCACATTTCGATTCTCATCAAAAAGGATGTCTTTGATCAAATCTACAGATTGCATAGCACAAAAATTTTGGCACAAATTCTCAGTACTTTTTAAAAGGCCAATGTTCTCCTCATTTAATCTACTAGGACCAAAATCAAGGAATGGTACAGTTTTTGATCTGAATCTTGGTACGAGGGGCCGACTTTCTGGTAATAAGAAATTATTGGAATTCTGATTATAATTATCAGTGGGAGGGCCTAAATTATTCTGATCAGAAACTATGTTACAGTCAGAATCTTCCAATCTAATTTGAGCAATTCTTACTCGCAAATCTTCTAAGTCATTGTCTGACACTATACATGGTTTCAAGAAGCTTTTCTTCAGTTTATCGCAGATTGAAACAGCACCAAAGTAGCTGTCAACACTTAAACTTCTTTGTCTATTATGCCTCTCAACCTGTGCCACCCATTTTTCAGTCATTATTGTTCGATCTTCAATGTCTAACTGTAAGTGGTCTCTTCGCACAATCTTATTTTCTCTGAATTGAATAAAACAACCACTGCCAGCATTTGACAGCTGGAAGTGCAGGTCCTGCAGTAGATCTTTAGAATCCATATGAAACCTGACAAACGATAAAGTGGATTTAGCGAATTCGATTGTCAACGGTAAGTCAAATGGGGAACGGCGAACGTCGTCTTGAAAAAGCGAATTTGTTCATGTGAACCGCCTTAATTTGACCACACGGTACTAACAACAAAATTCTAGGTCGACACATATATTTTTCAGTTTATACTCACTTCTCTGTTCCTTGTTACGCAAAGAAAGCAGCAATAAAAATCAGCTGACACATGTTTCGGAGTACAGGTTGCAGACACCACTGCTGCCCGGGATAGCGGAACGGAGCGAGTCGGCCAACTGACTCTCGGCTCCCTCCCACGACAAGGCGGAAATTTAAGAGAAACGTGAGGCAGCCTGTCAATTAGTTGTCACAATTTTAAAAATATCAGTGGCCCGAATTAATCCGTCGATAAATTGCACGTTTTGCTCAAACAGAACCGTCCGACTTCACCTGCTGCTTGCTGCTGCATTGACACATTCTTCCCGCCGTGCGCCGCGCGCCGCCCTTTGCCTGTGTCTGATGGGTTGCCTACCTCCACGGCGCACGGGCAGATACATCCGGCGCAGCAAGTAGCTCAAACTGCTCAAACATAGTAGTATCTCCAAAGGAATGGGGTCAAATAAAAACTTGTTCTAACATGATCGGGTCATAAAAGAATTTATTTACATAAAAGCTTAAAATAAAATTCTTTCCGAAATCAGACAAATTCTTTGTGAGGAACTTGCTGTCTCAACCTTAACAATTTAGTTGGCTGTCACTGGTTAGGAAAATTTGATGTCTTTTGATACAAACATAATGTTGCATAGATACTCAGCCTATCATGGCACAAATCAGTTTTTGAAACAAAAATTAATGTCAGAAAGAAAACAAAACAAACATTTTTCAGAACGTTCTTTTTCTTGAAGAAACAAAAACAAACATCAACAAAATTTTATTGGGGTAGTGGAGAACATCCCATAGACATCATGTCACCTCTAAGATGACCAGTCTCATCACTAGCATAGCATGAGATATGATTTCCTCATAGAAATTATTCACCTACAACCTTTGGCATTTATGTCAGTCACATTTCATTTCTGTGCAATGATTTTAACAGACCAATAAAGACACAAATCTCAGCTCTTATATAATATGGTTGAAATTTCATATGCACACATACTTACACATTTTTGTACAAAGTCTCATGGGCTACAACTAAAATTACATTCAATCACAAAAAAATAAAATATTACAAAATTTGAATATGTGCCAATCAGTTGAAAGCTGACAAACTCATAGACAAACGCGCACAAACTTCAGGCACACAACTATACACTTTTATAAGTCCTGTTGTTCTTAATTGAATACCAATTCAGCAAATCCTATGGACAGTACATCAATTGGGTTTGCCCACTGGTTTTTTCATTCAAAACCGATTTTCAGTAGTAATGGAATCAAATTTGGAAACAGATGCATCATTTAGAAGGGTCTTGTATGGCAAAAATTTTAAATTTGCTCTCTGAATACTACATGGGAAGTCAACAATTAAAAACTTGTGATGCTTTCAGAGATAACAATCAATATTCATAGAAACATAAAACATATCATACAACGTTAATTAAAATAAAATAAAATCACAAACCTCACATGTCTAAAAAAATTATCTTATATAGAATATCTTCATTTATAAAAGATTTACAAGAGAAAGTCTTAATAATTCATACAAAAAATATACTCTATCATAAAAACTAATATGTTTTCCAAAGCTACAAAAAACCTCCACACCAGAAGCAGGAGGAACTTCCAACAATATCATTTATATGCATTTTTTAAATGTTTTTAGTGGCATAAGACACAACAAAACTACAGTAATGGGAACAGTTTAGCACCTGGTCAATCAATGCAAATGTTGTCACTAAATAATTACGTTTTTCAGGCTAGTTTCGGTCGCCTAAATACAAATAAACTTTGCCAATTTCAGTGACTAGATATCAAAGTATTTCTGTACTCTTAATGTTTAAATTGAAAGATTCTCGGGCAAGAAATACAGTATATGTGGACAAATAGAGTTGAAATTCTTGATACAGCAATAAGTGTGTTTCCATGAGAATTTTATGTAAGCAAGAAAAAAATAAGATGATCCAGAGTTGAGATTGAGGATGGATATTTTTAAAAACATACATCATTGCCTTTTCTTTTTTTGAAAAAATAAAATAAAGAGTACCATAATTCATAAAACATTTCAAATCTCATGTACTTTCTTAAAAAAAAGCAAAATCACAAAAAATCTACTTATTTTATTACAGCTATAACTGGTTCAATATGCAAAGGCCCTTTTAGTTGGCATCACATCAGCAGCTGACTAGAGAGTCCAACAAATCATAAGCTGCCTCTTCCAGGAACTATATGCTCATGGCTTTGATCTCCCACGACATCCACACACTAAAGACAATCCAAACAGCTTGAGGACTCTACCCAACCATTAAAAGTCAATAAATGCAACACATGTATGTACTTTTTACCACCCCATATATGGGGTATACCCCACTCCAGGAAAAAGGCACAAAGCTGCAGCCATTCCCTCACCACATCTCAACACCACCCTGATTCCACAAAACTATTCAATAACAAACAATAATTGTACTATGATTTGCGTGGAGTCTTGAGAGCGCTAGCGAGGCAAACGCGCGGGAGATCGTTCTTATCCTAAACGGCGACTGGGGGCTTTCCCGGTACCACACTGCCCACTCTGATACAGTCCCGGTCCTTATATCACAGCTCAGATCCACAACTCGGCCCCCGGGTCAGATCACGGCTATGAGAAGTCGTCGTGGACCACGGCCTCCTGTGCGCCCGTCTTGGACACGCAGTCCCTCACTGACTCGAGGATGATCTTGACGCGGCGGTCCAGCGCCACGTGATGCGGCTCCCACAGCACCGGGGTCACAGGGTCCTTGGCCATGGACTCGCGCATCAGCTCGCTCAGCGGCTTGGGCCCGTTGTGGAACCTGCAACACACAACAGCAGCATGAACATCTCATGGACATCTCATCACCTAGCCGAGCAGGTCGGGGAGGGGCTAGACAGTTCGAACAGTTTCCGTGCAGTTGGCACCACTTCAGAGCCGGCGCCGGCGGGGGGAACTCCTGGCCAGGCGGGGCAGCTGCCACTCCGGCCAATGGCGCGGCTCGAGTGGGGGCCGCCGGAGGCAGCGAGGGCAGCAGTCGAGCGGCCGGGGAGCGTCAACTTGGCACTTTACAACTTGCAAACATGTCGGAACCATTGCCAAGCCAACGGCCGCGGGCTCCGGCTCCGCGGACGCCCGAGCCGAGCAGTCACTCACAGGGCGGCGTGAGCGTGCCGAGGGGCCCCGCCCCGACACCGGCCACCAAACTCACGGCACGGTGTTGTAGAGAGATACGGTAGGGGACACTGGGGTACCTTGGGGAGGTCCCAGTTCGGGATCTCTCGACACCGTGCCTCACGGGCAGCTTGTGCGCGAGCGGCAGAACCACTGGCAGCCCGCGCCAGGGCCAGTGGCGAACACGGCGGCGCCCTTTGGCCGCGGTGCTCATGAAGGGCGATAGGAACACCATGCGAATGCGAACAGGCCCCGGCCCGGGGGCACACACAAGAACAAGGGCCCGCGAAGGGGCGCCGCTAGCGGACCGGAAAGAGAGGGGGGGGGGTGAACATCTGCTTTATCGTTGCAAAAATTGGCTTGGACGTTGGCCAAACGGGATGGGTGGCAGGGGCGATGGCGATCCGTTTGTCTGTGATAGGGAATGCTCCCACCCTCTCCCTCTATCTTACACCCCCCTCCCCTCGCAGTCACGCCCATTCGCCGACAATGCGTTCGGAGAGATTGTAATCGAACGTATCTCTGCCCGGCCGCGAGCCCCGCTCCCTCCACCCAGCAGCCCCGGCGGTCGCGTTGTTTTGCTCGTCGATTTCAATCCAAACGCCGGAGCGGCGACGGCGGCGTGCGCGGCAACGGGCGAGGACGCTTTATTTAACAGCGGAGGGGAAAAAAAGCGTCCGATGAAATATTTAAAGCCTTCCATGCGGCGGCCTTTCAGCCCACCACGCCCAGAAACTGAGTCCTTCTCTTGCTACGCCTAAGAGAAAGGGAGAAAGAGGGGAAAACGGGGGGTAGGAGGGTGGGGTGGAGGGGATGGGAAAGTTATGGGGGGAGGGAAAAACGGCAAGGGGGGGGGGCTGGCGCTCTGGCAGAGCGAAGTTATTGCCATAGCGAAGCAGCGAGGCACGAGAACGAAGACGAATCGTCAACGAAACGACAGATTAGCGAATGGATCCGCCCGCTTTATAATGCAGGTGAGACG